TCCATTCATCCAAATTAGGCCTTAACATGCTTGAATTGCATGAATTATGCTCTCTTGCTCTATTGGCCTACAAAACACACAAAGGGAGGGAAATAACTTAGAATTATAGGAACTAAGCAAAAGAAGTAAGTAAATTGGGCATGTATATGTATGAAATTATGAGCTTAACAGGTCCACCCTTGCTCAACGCCCCACGCCGGAAGCATTATGTTGAGGATTGCTTTCGATTTTTCTATGAGTGCCAGGAGAGGACCAATGAGCATCTCTCTATTTGCTTAAATCACCGTTTCCCAGATTATCTAGCCATGGATCTTTCCTCATATCCTGCGGCAGAGACAAAAGAGGATATGCATAATATGTGGGCGAGCACCCTCATTAGCCGAGATCTTCCGTACGGCCTAATGGTGAACAAAGGTAACAATTATCATTGTGGTGGTGAACTTTATTATCCCGCCGCCGCCGGCTACCAACTTGGTTTCATTCAGAGCTTCCCGATTCCGCCCATGGACTCCGTCAACCTGCTTTCTTCTTGGTGGGCAGAATTCAAGGATGCAAAATAAGTCACCGCCTTGACGAATGTCAACCAAGACTTGGTGAATTCCTTCAGCATTCCGATTAGATATCCCCGATTTGGTGATTCTGATATTTTCACCCATTGGTGGAAAGAGATGTCGACCGGTTGGTTCTCTCAACCATGCTCGAAGATTGAAGATAGAATCTTCAGGCATTGCCCATGCTCATTAGCCTACCAGCAAGAGAAAGAGAAGAAGAAGGCACAAGCAAAAGGTAAAATATTCATACGTTTTCTCATTTTAATTTTGGCTATCTTCTTATTTTCTAACCTTTCAACTCTCACAGCTGACACCGCCGGGAAGGAAAATCCTCCCGCCGGCATTATTGAGAGAGAGAGCTCCGCCAATCCCGCCGATGCCAATCCTGGGCGGGTTGAGAAAAGGCCCAACGCCCCCGTCCAAGGTAAACTACTCTCCATGATTACTTTTGCCTTTTTTGAAGATTTGCATTTCCATCCTTCTGAATTTTTAATTTGTATCTCTAAGAGAAATAAACCTCCCAATTTTTAGCAGATAGCCCCGCCGGAAATATTGTGCCCCCACAATCATTTCTTCGGCCTAGAAAAGCTCCGCGCACCCTCTCACCTCAAGGTTTGGCCGTGCACCCTTTTT